GCCTGCAAAATAAGCCCGCGCCCCGTGCCCACGCGGGGGGGGGGGGGGGCGGACCTGACAGCCGCGGTCCGGGCGACGCGGCAGCCCCTCAAGCGCGCGCATGTGCGAGTGCATGCCCGAGCGAGCAGACGCACTCGCGTGGGTATGTCCGCCCCCCCCTCCAGGGGGGCGGGCGGGCTGCTGTACTACCCTGCGGCGCTTGCCTGGGGTGCGGGATGGATGACGCGTGCGGGCCTCGCCCGCGCTCCCCTCCCCCGGGGGGGGGGGGGGAGGGGGGGCGGACTGGCGCTGGACGCATAGTCCGACCCGGGCCGGCGGCGGGCCGAGCCAAGCCCCGGGTCGGCCTGGGAGGCGGGGGCCCCTCACTCCTGCCCCCCCCCCCCCCGCCCCCAGGTGATGGGGTGGGAGGGAGGGAGGGGGGGCCGAGTCCAAACACGGCCGGTGTCATGACGCGAGCGCCTTGGTGTGGCGGGCGTCAGGCCGTGCTGCTATTGGGCGGCCGGCCGGCCACCTGGGACCGGGACCGGGACCGGGACCGGGGCCGGGACCGAGACCGAGACCGAGACCAGGCCATCTATTCGTGGCGCGCTGGCGCGCGGCCGCTCGGCCCCTGCGCATTGTGACCTGAGGAGAGCCAGCGGGACGGGGGGGGGGGGGGGGGGGCCGGCCCCTCGGGCGCGTGCATCCGCACCGAAGGGGTTTCACCTGGCCCGGGCCATTGTGTGAAACAGGGCCTCCGCGCCGGGCCGGTCATCGCGCTTCGGGCCAGTTCCACTGGGACCCGGGTCTCAGAGACGGGACGCGGCTCTCCAGGCAGGCAGGCAGGCAGGCACGGGGGGGGGGGAAGGATGCCGGGCATTCGCGCAGCCCGTGGGCCGGCAGCCGGCAACCGCCAGGCGGCGAGCGCACGCCCGCGCGTACGGGGGCCAGAGCATACCCCTGCCCCCAAACAATGGTTTTCGCGCGGCGCCCCCTCCCCCCCCCCCCCCCGCCCCGGCCCCCGGCCGGCGCCGAGGGGGCTGCGAGAGACGCGGCAACGTCGGCTTCCGGGTCGCGGAGATGGCCGGTTGCCGGGCGGCCGCACCTGCCCCAGGCCGGACAGCCTGACTGGGCCGGGCCGGGAAGGTCTCGCGCACGCCAAGCACCTTGGGAACCTCGATCCCGGGAACCGGGGGTCCCGGGAAAGTACCCCCTGGCATACCCGGGGGGCCGAGGGGCTGCGGGGGGCGCACAAAAATGCAGCCCATGTGTGGCGGCAGCCCACCGGCCGCGGCTCAGCTGGTGGCCCAACCCCGGCGCGCCTTGCCACTCGTCCGCCCGCGCCGGCCTGTCTGCCCGCCTCCGGCGCCGGGTGGAACAGTCGCCCCCCCCCGCCCGGGGGGGGGGGAAATTGGCGTCCGCGGCGCTGCCTGCCCGGGGGGCGGGGGGCCTTTCTCACCACCGGCCCCGGTCGCCCGGGTAAACAACCGGCCCGCTGGCCGGGGAGCCGCCAGCCGGGCGGCGTGTGGCCGCGCGCGCGCGTACATGCCGCGGGGGGCTTCTGTCGTCATGCCCCCCCCTCCGCCCGCCCCGGGAGCCCTCCCGTGAGAGCGACCTGCTTGGGGGGGCGGGGCCGGGGGAACTGGGGACCGCGAGCCGGGGCTGGTCGTATATACCCCTGCGGCCGCTGTGCGTCTGGTTCCCGCCGGCCGTGGCAGGCATGACTCTGGCCGTCTAGCGGCAGGCGGGGGGGTCGGCCGAGCGCCCAGGGTGATATGGCCG